CCTCTGGTAGATGGGGGAAATATCAGGTACCGAGGGCCGACCTCGTTGGCTGAACTGGGCTGATAGCACGCACCAGTACCGGTAGGGTATGGCGACTGGTAGAATATCAAAGGGGAACGTACAATAGACTATTAGTCGCGGTGCATGGGGAAACCCACCCCCTCTAATAATAATAATAATAATAATGTCCCAATAACCTTGCTGAGTGGTGTCTGTAATGTTTTTATATTCACACGGTACGTCACATAAACTTGCTTCGTTTTCTTGTTTCAGATGATGATTTTAATTATTGCGCCATTCAGCCTCGCAGAAGACATTTTCAGCCCTGACACGTGAGTGCCATTAAGGTCATATATAATTCTTTGATGTAGTATAGATTATTGATACCTAACTAATTGCCGCTCGTTATCACAACGCTTCTCCAGAAACTGACAATGGTTGAACTGGTGAAAACATTCTTCACATTTATGGAACCCGAAATTCATTACCGTGATCACAAAATCCCTCACTGGATTTCATCCTGTTGGAGATAAATATCGGCTACAATTTCTCATATAATTTTCTGGGCTCTCTCGTTACTTACCTCCCTAGATCCAGTTGTTGTCCTCAATACTCTGTTCTCTAAATTCCTCAGTCATATACTTTCTTTAAGGCGACAGACAGCCCTTGACACCTGCCAAAACAGCAGTCACTTTTTTAATCGGCTAAATAGATTATTAAACAGAATAACGGCAGATGGGCACTTCTTACCTCAATGATAGCAAGTAATCTTCGAGTTTAATCTGCTCTTGCATTCATCTTCAATGTCCTTTAGGTTTCTAGCTGTCCTCCCTAGGTATAAGATTACCCTGAGTTTCTCTGTTTCTCTGCAGGAATATGCAAACATCATATACATATACAGTATATATACATACATTATATGCACGTAATATAATCTTTTAAATGCAAAACATTAAGATTACTCGTTAAACGCCAATTAAGCTATGTCTCATATATATATATATATATCATACGGCCGAAATATATTCTAGAATGTATTTCGACCATATGATGCCTTCATCAGGCATAAATGAGAGTCAAATAGCTGCACTGCACTTTGTAAATTCACTGTGCGTGAGATGTAAAATATAAGAGCCTAAAAGTTTTTTTAGCTTTCTAAAACAAACTGTTTTCTAGTTAAAATATGAGTGTATGTGAAATATTAATTGGTGTTCAACCAGTAATAGGCTGCACGAAGTGCTGCATTTACAAGATTGTATTTCGTGTGTGTGTGTGTGTGTGTGTGTGTATATATATATATATATATATATATATAGACCAACTATTGTAACTTTAACTCCAGGAAGATTATTGGTGCTCATTTCTGTCAGAGGCTGAATTGAACCCAGGTCAGTAGTTCGGCTGGGAGGGTTAGGTCAATTGAAAAATCCAATGACCTCATTACGAATTGAACCCGCGACCTTCCGGCTTGCAGCATAGTGCCTCAACTAACTACGCTATCGCGTATCCCAATATTATATACCATTTTAAAGTATATAAATTTGTTGAATAATTTAAATTACACATGTAAAATTACTGACGATGTCACTTCAGTCACTTATCCACTCAACTAGAAGATTAGTCACTGTAGGAAAATCGAACATAGGTGGACAATACTTGAGAAGATGGCGCTTTGGAGAATACTGAGGCCAAGAGGGAGGCTGTACTAGAGGGTTTAATGTGATGAGCATGTAACTCGAATGGGGGAGATGAGACATGCATCCAGAATTTTGGAAAGGGAATCTGTATAGAATAAGGACTTTCGAATGTCTGTGAGAAGGAAAATAGCTCTAAACATAAGAAAGTAGGCTATCAGGATTGGAAGTGTAGAAATCTGGATCACGGCCATGTAAAATGGCGATGTTAAACCTTCTATCAGATAGTTAGTTAGTTAATTAATTATATCTGTTTTGATGTTTAAAAATCTTGTTGGAAAACCTTCACAGTACACAGAATATACCGGAGTAGCGCTTCCTACCATCACTATCCGCTGTTCAGATGCCCAAGCTACTAAAGTTTTTGTTGTCTTCTTTGACGTTTATTATTTCCAAGACAAACGTTTCATATCCTTCTGCTCGTAATGTTTGACCGGAATAAAATTTCTCGCCATCTGCACTGCCCCATGAACGAAACAATGCCTGGTTAACATTTGCGTAAAACTTGGGAGTTTTGTCTTGTGTGCCATAACCGCGTGGGCAGTTGCTACATTTGTCATCACAAGTGGCCTTGAAGTGTGTGTAATGCACATGCGTGAGGCTTTAACCTGTATTCTCGCTGCTTACGTTCGTATTTATTTGGGGAGCTATAGTTTTCATTATTCTCATAAACTGTTCGCATTGTCTTGGCCTACAGTTTCATTTTATTCTTATAACTTGTTGGAAATGTATGTCTGAAACACGTGAAAGTTAGTTTTATACGTACTAAGACGATTGCTCAGTAAAGAGGACCCCTAGAATACTGAGACAGTGTAAACTTTTAAAACTGGAATTGGAAATAAGTTTGTTCCTTTAACATTCCTTGTTATTTAACAGTAATACGGGCCGCGCCATAGCTCAAGCGGTTAGTCGCTGGCTTCCCATTGCGGCGGCCCGGGTTCGATCCCGGGTCTGGTCAAGTGGGATTTGTGGTGGATAAATTGGCGCTGGGGCAGAATTTCTCCGAGTACTTCGGTTTCCCCTGCCAATCTTCATTCCACCAATTGCTCCGCAGTCACCCTTACTTATCATCTGAGGTTGGTACAATAGGCCAGAAGTGGCCGCAGTACAAGGGACTTAGTCCCACCCCACTAGCAATAAAAGGAATATGAGTGATATGCCTTGCCTTAAGTCACATATCTAATGAATTATAAATGCTTTTATATTTGCAATATTTACAATAACTGACTGATGCTTACAGTGTTTTAATTTGTTGCACTTAATCAAAAGTTATGCTCTATTTGAAAAAAATAGACCATTTTCACACACGTACATAAATACGAGAGTCGAAAATTTTACTAGAAACTGAGCACAAGCAATTTCCAGTTACAGTAATTCCAATTTCGCACCGATCAAAAGCAAACTCCATGGCTTTAGTCTGCAAGTGAACTATACCGACCGAGCGACTTTACACATAGCTGCATACTGCAGTCGCCTGTTAAACGCTGTATTGCTGGGGCATGGACGTGTCTTGTTCCTTCTCAGTTTGAGCGGGATAAACCGCCAAGAGAACTGGTTTATTTGAGTTTGTGGCGTGCATTAAAACACGTCCTGCTAGCCTTTAGAAAGGCGATGAAATATTAGGTCTGTGAAGTTTTCTGTAATCTACGTTTATAGACACTATGTAAGATGCACAGTTTTACTCCAGGCAAGGTTGTCTAGCTCCGTGCCCCGCCGTATACTGTTGTAAATAAGTAAATTGTTCATTCATAACCATCTTTAACAAGGACTCCCTATTACCTCGGCAATAAATACTGCTATATAATTTATGACTCTTCATAATGTATTAGTCATACCTTTAGCACGCTACAAATAGTATGTCCTATCTTTTGTAGCACTTATTTTCTGTCTGAGAAACATGGAAAATAGCTTAAATATTTGTGAAAAATTGTGATTGGGAAGGATTTGGGGTTATTTGAAGCTGTAGTAGAGAGCATTATTGATATAGATTTTAAAAAGGTTTATGTTAACTGAGATTTTTTAAAAGATTATATTACAGCTCAGTATGTGCTTAGAGGAAAAGTGACACATACATTGAAATGTATAGAAATATATTCACCATATGTATAAGCATTTTGAAATAATTTTCGTTTTGTACATTTATTCATGATTGAAGTATTAACATAGAGATAAAGTCAAACTTATTCTGTGAATACTTTTCAGGCAGTATCTCCATATAACATTTAGTAATATGACTAAATTACACGAGTAAGATTATGTTCCTAAAGATGAAGTGCCCAATGATTTTTGAATTTATGTTGATTATTAAAATCAGAATAAAGTAAGAAGAAACAGTAATTTGGATGAAGCCGAGCTCATGACATAATGTTGGCACTACTTGTCGTGAAACGGGACATGATAAATCAATATAACGCAGAAATATCCTTTTGTTAATGGTGTACTTCATGAGATGTATCAGTACATCTGTTCTAGCTCCTCGAGGAGCTGATTGCCAGTCCCCAATATTTATTATCGCTTTAACAAGAGCGGCCACTGCTCTCGGTCCTCAGCCAGATGTATCCAGTAAAAGGTAAAGCTATCCTTATATCAGGCTGTGGAGACCC